TCCTTCCTTCCCTCCTTCCTTCCCTCCTTCCTTCCCTCCTTCCTTCCCTCCTTCCCCGCTGCAGGCGCGGACGCGGCGGGGCCGGAGCCCGGCGGCTCGGACAGCAGGCTGGAGCGGCCCGAGCCCTACGGCAGCGTGGAGGAAGCGCTGCTGGCAGGCGAGTCCAGCTACATCCAGCAGCCCCTGACCCCGGACAAGGAGGATGCTCTCCAAGCCGCCACCGTGGCCAACCTGCGAGCAGCTCTGATGAGTAAGAACAGCTTGCTGTCGCTGAAAGCCGACATGCTGGGCGAGGACAGCTCGCTGCTCTTCGAGTACCTCCCCAAAGGCACCCACTCGCTCTCCCGTAAGTTGGACTTCTTCTGTTTATTCTGTTTTTAGTGATGCTTTAGGGGAAATCTTTAGTGAGAAGAAAATACAGGTCACCGCCTTGTTTGTTGCTGCTGGTGTGTTCGTATCCTTAATCCCACTTTCCATGAAATTTGGAAACTTTAGTTTGATATTGACCCAACTTTTATGTTAACTACTGGAATCATAGAAGAAAATATTCCTCTTGTAGCGCTTGCCCTCCAATTTCTGTTTTGCTCATTTGCACAATTATTCCACAATTTATTTACAAACAAAATATAAAGTATCCGAGTCACTATGGGAAAGGTTTTGAACCCAAACTTGATTGATGTTGAATAGCTTGAATGTTGCTCCTGTGTCTGTGGAAACAATTGGGCTATTGTAGACTGCATGATCTTTACTTCTTGCAGTTTAATTTTAGAGCTGTAAGTAGTGAGCAGCTATTGATTTTGTTTTGCTTGCATCTGAAAATGAATGTTTTTCTACTAGTGATCTGTTAGAGACAGCTGATGTGAACCATTAGGTGTGGACAGCTGATTTTTCAGCATATTTCTGTCTTTTCTTGATTGCAGCCTGATTCTCTAGTGCATAAAGAAAGAAATTATTAATGCTGTATTTTAATAATACACTGAGAAGATGTATCATGTGTGAAACAGAATAGAGCAAGCAACAGTTTTCTGAGTACTACATGTTAATTTCCAGAAGAAAATATTTGTCTTTATCTATGCTGAGAAAACTGACCAAGTAAATAGAATGAAAAGTTCACTTAGGATATCTATTATTCTATTTTCTTTTAGTTTCCTCAATGTGAAAAGATAGATAATTTTAATGGTCATAGAATTAGAGAATGAATCGCAGAATCCCAGAATGCTTTGGGTTGGAGGGGACTTGGAAGATCATCTTTTTCCAACCCCTTGCCATGGGCAGGGACACTTTTCACTAGACCAGGGTGCTCCAAGCCCCATCCAGGTGGCCAGCTGGTCCCTGGAGTTGTGTGACATTGCACAGTGAGTGCCAGACTTAGTGTCTCTTTTCACTTCTCATGTCTGAACAATGGAATTGTTTTTTTAAAAAAATCCAAAAACCTTGAAGTTTCTGTACCTTATCCTGTAGCTTAAATATTTGTAGGGAATTGATGACGCAGTGTTGTGGTTTCTTTCGCAGTTACTCACTTCCTGAAGGATCTCCAGTTAAATCAGATTTAGATGGTTCAGATTGGGCTCCGGGGTTGCAAATCCCTCAGCTGCAGTGGAACAGCACAGACGTGGCTCAGTAGAGTGGCAGGGTTTGGTAGCAGAGTGCCCTGAGCTGGCACAGGGATGGGTGGGAGCCTGGATCGATGCGTGACCGTGGGTGATGGATGCACCACGGGTTCCAACCTGGGGCTCCTGACAGGTGAAATCAGCAGTTCCATCTTGTGTCTTGATAAATTGGAGTAATAACAGGGCTGCCCTCTATCCATCATCCTTCTCCTTGTTGGAGGATTTTGGGTTTTACTTAAAAACTGAAGCACCACTTGACATAAAGATAAATGTGTATGAAGCAGTCATAAATCCGGGTTAAAAACCAGAGATTGCCCAACTACCTGAGGAGCAGAGTTTGGGGATTGGCATGGTGCAGGCAGGGAAACAGCTGGGTTTAGAATAAAACTTGATACATTTAGAAAAGGGGATAGTTGATAGCTCACTGAGGGGTGCCATGGCCCAGGAGGTCCTGTCCAGCATGTATTTGAGGTCCTTATTTTCCAGTCTTTTCACTATTACTTGGATTTCGTTCAGCTGAACTTCAATTATCTCATCTTTATGGAAGCAAAGTGAAATACCCAAGTCAAAAGGAAAACTTCCTGCTTGGTCTGTAGCTCTCACAGCAGTCGGGAATGTGGCTGTGGCCTGGTAAGAGGGTTTTTATAGAAACCAGGAGTTAAGAGACATATTTTTCTTTCATCTTATTCAGATTCACAGGTATCAATTTATTTTAATCACTTGAAAAAGATCTTGTGATATACGATTCCCTTTTAAGTGGTCATTACTGAATGAACAGGACATCAAGTTTGATGAGAATTTTCAGTGTATAAAATGACAGTGAAGCAAGTGCTAGGGAGATTGTGGAGATGTAAAAGCACAGTCTAGGTTGGTGCTGGCTTTGTAGGTGTTTTTGACATTTTTCTTCAAAAACAATTTGAGGATGTTGAGTCATTTTAAGTCCTGGGTTATATTAAAAAAAAAAAAAAAAAAAGAAAGGAGGAGGGAGTAGGTAGGAGCACAGTGAAAAAGATTGTATTTAACAAGACGACCAAATGCAGTGGTTTTCATCTGTCTTGATTTAAGAAGAAATGCACTAATTTCAGGGATTATAAGTGATCAGTCTCTCTTGACTTTAAAGAAGTGAAGTGTTTTTTAATCTTGGCTGCTATCACTGGATTGTCTTCTCTTACACAAAGCACTGCAGTGCAAAGCACTCAAGGAGCAGTACTCAGGTTTTGTTTTGTTTTTTTTTTTTTCTGGAGGAAAAGATATTTAATGGAGGTGGACAGATGCAAAGAAGGTGTTAAACATGTTTAAAATTTGGATGAGCCATTTCTAAAGGGAATATTCTCTAAGTTACTAATTTCTAATAGGAAATTCTCTAAGTTACTGCACACATTAAAAGTTTTCACTTGCTCTTCCACATCATTCCTGTTTTAGAAGTTAGAGTATATCCCAAGGTTTTCATTTTACTCTGTGTTCTTTTTAACTAATTCATTATATGATCATATGAGGTATGAACTTGACATTCTGCTGGTGGAAAATGAAGCCCAGAATGTGTGTGTGTGGGTGTTGTATCACTATGGTGAATTTCTGAAGTTAACCAGTTCAAACTCATTTAAAATCAGAATGGAAAACTTTAATATCTTGCCATTTGGTTAGCACAGTTGCCAGATAACCTGCAGCTGAAGGGCTCTGGGAGTTTGATGTTCATGATGTGTGATCAAGATTGGCGTTGTTCATATGCTTGTCAGAAACCTGGAACATGCAGCTTTTGCAGAAAAAAAATGTGTGAGTTACTCATGGGTTACACCGAGGCTGTCTGGGGTTACTGAACCTGCCTGGGTTGTTGCTGGGGCTGCCTTTCAGATAAGACATCATGAGTTTTCCTGGTCTTGCCATGTTTTCCTGGTTTGTCTCTAAAAGCAGGTGGTTGTTGTGTGATTTCCACTCCAGCAGAGCTGTTCTGCAGAGCTCCTTGGTTTAATAACGTGTCTTATTTCATTTATGAGCCTGAACTTTGGTAGCATTGTTCTGCACGGTTACATCACATTGCCAGAAGTCTCAAAGGCTTCACTCGAATGTTTTGAGATGGTTTTGCCAAGTGTAATCAAGAGAACGAGAATTTTAATGTTCATCAGAAAATGAAGTATTTAGTTCACATCCTTGTTTTCTCATTAAAAAAAAAAAAAGAAAGAAAACTTTCACATCGTTGGGGGGGGAGAACGGGACACACGACTCCCTTAAAGGGCGACTTCCACATTTCAGAATAGCACATTTGAAGGCTTTTTTATATGTCTAAGTTTGGCTTTTCCTGTTTACCCTGTTGCATCTGAAACTGTTTATAGAAGCAATTCCTATGAAGCTTCCAGTCCAAGTGATTACATGGTACACAGAGCCCTTTTCTTTTGGGCAAACCAGCTAATAGGTTATTTTTAGTTAGTGGTTCATTGGAGCCAATAATTTATCCTTGCAGTGAATGTTAAGAAATACATTTTACACAGTGGTCAGCTTTCCCAGGAAGAAGTTAAAGGTATTCAGTTTGGTGTGGAATTTTCATACATGGTAAAAGAAGATTTAGGGGAGAATGGATGCAATTTTAAATGAGATGTAATAACTTTGTCTTTCTCTTTTCCACAATAGTTTACTGTCCAGCTGTCACAAGAATTCTGTATTGATACATATATTGCTAAACCCCTGCTTCAATTTGTGTGTGCAGAGCTGACTGAAGGAAAGAGTTTTTCATTCCTGATTTAGAAGTTAAAATACTTTTGGTTAAAATTCATTTTAGTACAAGTTTAGGAGGGAAAACGGTTTCTCACAGTACAACTCAGAATGGACGTAAATCTGCATTTTTGTGTACAAAGTGTGGGTCATTAATGTGGGTTTCTCTCTTCTTGTGTTACTTGCAGTTGTTGAAACCAAATAAATACTGATTATTGTTTGAACACTTATCTTTGTTGTGTTGTACATCTTTGTGTGTTTGTACACCTTGGATTATAGTTTATTGGTTCTCTGGGCTTAATTTCATTGTTTGTTTGTTAGCCTTAATTTTTTGCTTTAAGAAGTCAGAGGTTTTTTTTTGGAACCTGTGAAACTGGGAAGATGCTAATAAACGAATTCATCAAGTCAGGCCCCACTGGTTTATCTTTACTGTGTGCTAAAATACGATTAGTTCAAAGAAGTATAACCCAGAGATGCCTTTGGGGCAGTTTGAATCAGTTTGGGTTGTTCCAGGGTAAAAAAAAAAAACGTCTGTCTGTCTGGGCAGGAATTCTGCTATGGACCTGTCGAGCTGGATTCCTGGTAACAGTTTCTAACAGGAAATACTGATAAATTCCTTCTTTCCCCTGAACTTTTCCTATCTTCGATTTCTGGCATTTTGTTGTCCTACTTTAAAATGACAACAGCAACAGATGAGCAGCATGTGAAGGAAACCTTGGAGCATTGTTATCCCAGCTGAACAGCATTAACTAACTCGGGAAAGATATTGATCTGCCATCAAAAAGGAGGAAAGTAAATCAAACATCCAGCTTGTGGCACAAGAGCAGAATTTCCTTTGATAGCTGATAAAAAAGTAAGGTTTGGGATTGTTCACATTTCGAAACCTTGCTGTTTGTTGTCACCCAGATCACAGTGCATTGTATTCGGACACAGTGTAAACTGTGACTTGTTATTTGTTGCTGCATTAAAGAGTGGTTTTTTATATCCCTGAAGGTTTCCATCAGACTCTTTTTTGCTGGAAATGAAAAAG